TGATCTGTGAGCACGGAGCCCGATGTGGGGCTTGAACTCACGGACCGCGAGATCATGACCTGAGCCGAAGTCGGCCGCTTAACTGACTGAGCCACCCAGGCGCCCCATTATCTGACATTTTAAAAGAGGCCAACTGCGGGAGGGAGAACAGGTGGGTAGTTGCCAGAGGTAAGAGGGGAGGCCTGGGCAGGACTATACAGGGGCCTTTGGGGGGTGATGAGATGGTTATGTACCCAAACTGTGGCGGTGGCTACGTGAATACGTGAGTTAAAATTCACAGAACTACGCCAGCCCCAGAAAGAAGCCAATTTTGCCAAATGATAATTTTAAAAATAAATCCTTTTTAAAAAGCTAAGTGACACTCCAACCTCTCCAGGTAAGGGAGACCTATTCATCTGACCTAAGCAGCCAGCCAGCCAGGAGGAGGTTCAGAGCAGCGGGTTAAGGGCGTGAGTCCTACAGCCAGAACGCCTGGACTCTGAGCCCAGCCCCACCCCCTACTGGAGAGTGACCTTGGGCACATCACTTAACCTGTTACTGCCTTTCTTTCGGCAACTGAAAATGCTAAGAAGGTTAGTTCAGTTAATCCAGGTAAACCTCTAACCAGGGCCTGGTGCCTCATAAGATCTAAAAAAAAAGCTGACATCAGAACATCAGCTCCCTGAGGCCAGAGACCGTGAGCGTCATAAGCCGCATTCCCAGTGCCTAGAACAGAGCCTGGCACGTGGTGGGGGCTCGACACTGAACGAATGCGAAGGGAAGGCAATAGATAGTCTAATACGAAGTAGACAGGCTCAGGAGGGTTCAGTTTTGGATCACGTGCGCCACTCTAACGACATGACTACTGAAGACGTGGCTCTTTAGGGCAGATACACGTGTGCCTTCTATCTCAGCAACAGGCTTCTCAGCGAAGAGACGGAGGTATATGTCTGTTTCAACTTCAAAATGTGAAAAAAGGAAGCCACTAATACAATCAGTTTCGTATCCAAATCTTAGTTTTCACCGGAAAAGACATTTCTGAAAAGGTTATAAAAACTGGCTTTTCATAGGATTAATTTTACTGTCATGTGCAGGTAAATGTCCTCTTAAAACTCTCGTAGAAGTTTTTACGAGGAATCTTTGCCATACGAGTAATCATTGTTTGATTATACATCACGTGCTATTTTCGTAACTACACGTATTAAGGTACAAGTTCTACATGTCACCCTTTCCTCTACATTTTTCCCTTCCTAATGACTTTCTCCCACGAGAACAAGTCAGCTCTCACGTGGTTCAGATGCTGTCAGCATACGTGTTGCCAAAGCGAGGACCAGATGCTTTTAACTTTATAGTCTAGCATTAAACCTAATAAACTTAGCGTAAACGTTAACAGCTTGACACCCAGGTAGTTTCGAGGCTCACACCAAGCGTCTTACCAAGTCGGCCACCCTGCACAAGGAATCAGAGAGCTCGTCGAAAATGAGCACGGTCTGGGGCCCAGGTGCCACGGAACACACACGCTCCACAAGCAAGTCTGCCTTCCTCAAGGCATTTTCTTGGGCGACCCGAAATCCTTCTGGGGCGCTGAGCTCAGGAACTCCAAAAAGACCCTGCAATCCAGAGAACAGTTCCCATTTGTCACTAAAAACACGATTTTTCGGTGTTAAGTGTAAGTCCTTTCTCGGAGAGGAAATCTCGGTTTTCACCGGTGTATCACATAATGCCATGTTCACATTTCCCACGTATTCCATAGATTAAACGACACCTGTTTTAAGAATGTGACTGTTTTTTCATTTTTAATTATTTCATATAAAACAAAAATAGAACGATACAGGTTCAACACCCAGCTCAGCCACTACTACAGACCCTACCTCATAAAGTAGTTACAAGGATTAAATGAGATGATACGTGTTTTTAAAGCATTTCAACACTGCCTGGCACGCAGAGAGCCATTTAATAGATATTAGCTGTAATCACCATTAGCCGTATGACCCCGGTTGGCCTAGTTCTCTCTCCTCCTGGGTCTAAGTTTCTCATTAAGCACGATGGGGATGACAGTACACATCTGACAGCATGGATACAGATATACTATATTAGAAAGTATATGTAAAGTCTTCTGGGGACGCTGCTGGCCATTGGGTCCAGTCCAGTACCTAGAACCAAGTATTCCACAACTCAAGATAGAGAGGATGAGTTGAGCACATAGATACTTCAGGAAGCTTTAATAAGCATGTTAAGACCAGCTCATCGGCTGAAAGCAGCAAATTTTATACTTTCCGAAAGCATGTCAGCATCTTGATAAGGACAAAGATCACTAATCCAATGGGAATGAGCATCCTTTTCTACCAGTTCAAACACTCTCGTTCCAGCACCCAGGAAGGCAGGATAGAAAACACAAAGCATTTACTGTGCATTTACTGCACGCCAAGAGGAGAATTCTGTACCTAATACAGGTTCCCTCATTTAAATCACATAATCCTAGTGCAGGAACCATCATTCTTCTTTCACACATAAGGAAACACACTTTAAGAAGCCAAAAAAAAAAAAAAAAAAAAGTTTGAGGTCATTAATTGTGGGAAAGACAGAACTTGAGCCCGCTTTGTACATCTCCAAAGCGCACACTTTTTCCACACTTCTGTATTGCAATTTATCTGTTTGAAAGTCTCTCCTGAGAAGGCAAAATCCTAGAGGGAGGAACCGCTTTCATCATTTGAACCAGCTGCCCAGCATAGTGCCTACCACATGGGCAAACTCGTGGACGAGACAAATTAACGGACCAGCGCTTAGCTCTGTAGTTCAACTTTGCAGATGACTAATAGGTTGATTTTGGAAAACAGCAAGAGGTAAAATTTTCAGGACCGATAAGGCCTGCCTTTTCTGCAAGAAGGGATGCGTAAAATTAACCTCTCTCCAAACTGATTAAATAATGAAAAAAAAAAAAAGACAGTTGCGGGCAGAGCAGAATCAGGACCAAAACCAAATCAGATTCTCTACACTGATTTAATTTGATTCAAGTACAGACTATTTTTCATTTCCCAGCACACCTCTCCACACTGCTCTTGGGAATTCTAAACCTCAGACTACTAGTTATGGAAATGATAAAAAAAAACAAAACAAAACTACATTAACCTTTGTGGTTTTGTGTTGTTCTCTTGTTTAATGAAAAACCAATTCAGGTACCTGAAAATCCAATGTCAGTATCTAAACTCGTGATCTTCCAAAAAAAAAACCAAAAAGCTAAAATTAGTTTTGTTTCAGGGGCGCCTGGGTGGCGCAGTCGGTTAAGCGTCCGGCTTCAGCCAGGTCACGATCTCGCGGTCCGTGAGTTCGAGCCCCGCGTCAGGCTCTGGGCTGATGCCTCAGAGCCTGGAGCCTGTTTCCGATTCTGTGTCTCCCTCTCTCTCTGCCCCTCCCCCGTTCATGCTCTGTCTCTCTCTGTCCCAAAGATAGATAAACGTTGAAAAAAAAATTAAAAAAAAATAAAATAAAATTAGTTTTGTTTCATCCACCCCAAACCAAACACTTTTTTCGTCTTTCTACCCAATACCTATACGTGGTTGTTCTCCTCTCACCAAGTATGTTAAGACCTTATTCTGGTATTTACCCCTATGGAAGTTGGCCGATTTCATACAAAAATATTTTTAAAACAGTCAAAGCTAATGGCAGAGATCAAATAAGAAAACACTCAAATCAGTAAGCTCACTGGTAACGGTATCCTAGGCTCTTCCAAGAAAGGCAATGGTACAGATAATGAAGAAATTTAAAAGGCAAACATAAAAGTAACAACCTGAGGAGGGTAAAATCCACAAATGTAAAGTACAACAGGAATAGAAGGGTAAACCCCTTTCAAGCGTGCCTTCCTTTCACCTTTAACTCAGGCACTCGGTAAATATTGACTGCCTACGTAACGCCAGACACCTGCTGCGTGTGTGGCCCTAGCAGTAAACAGGAACCAGAGAATTCAGTCAGTGACTTCCCGGGGGAAGAAATCAACGTGATCAACGCCATCGCATTATAGGAAATTAGACGGTTCTCAACAGTTTTTGTGTTTTATAACAAGAAGAGCCCAAAGCTTTGGAAAAAATTTAAACCGGCATTTCGAGCATCGCCGGCATTAGTAATTACACGGAAACCTGACGCCGCCCGTGAACTGTAGGGCGAGGCGCCAAGGCACTAGGGTTGGGTTGGGGCAGAAGCGCACTTCAGCTGGGGTTGGTCCCAGTGTGAGGCGAGGGCGGCACCCGGCAGGCGGGATTTACCGCCACCGCCAAAATGAACTATTTTAAGTGCACGTGGAGCGAGGGCTCACACGAGCCAAGTCCCAGGACCCACATTCTGGGGGGCAGGACCCCTAAAGACCGCCCCGCCCCCCTCACACCAGCCCCTCAAAGAGGAGGTGACGGGCAAGGTCACCGAGAGCGCACACGACACCCTACTGTACAAAGCGGGTTCGCTGCCCGGCTCCTCCCAGACCCAAAACACGCGGCCCGGATCCCTGCTGGGCCACGCCGGGGGTACGAGGGGAGCCCCCTCCCGCGCCGCTCACCCGGCGCTCGCCGAACAGGTCCAGGCGGCGGCCCTGGGGCTTGACATTGAAGGCGGCGCCCACCGGGAACCAGCTGGTGCTGACCCCTCGGGCGCGGATCCTGGCTCCGAGGCCCCTGGAGCCCGCTCGCCCGGGCCATACAGGCGCTGCCCGGGTTCCGAGCCCGCCCAGCCTCCCGGCGTACAGCATCTGGAGCCCAGAGCAGCCCCTTCCCCCGCCGCGAGACCCCGCCCCTGCACCGCAGCTCCCGCCGGGAGCACGCGCACCGCGTTTCCAAGGCAGCGGGCCACGCCGCACCACGTGACGCCAGCGCTTCCGGGTCGGGGCTCGAGGCCCTCAGAACGTGAGCACGTCGCAGTCCCGCGAGCAAGAGCGTCGCTCCGCCGCCTTCACGGCGGACGCCGCGGTCTTGCGCCCCCTTGTGTCTGGAGTAAAGAACGGCCCAGGTTTACGCTTCCCTCCCACGTGACTCGAGCGAGGCGGGCAAAGTCGCGCCGCAGGGTGAATTCTTCCAGGAGGGGCAGCGAACGCTGGGCGACCGCCGCCTGAGTGCCTTCCCCGACGTGACAGCACCGGCGACGCTCGTCGACTCTATCGGCCTCCACCCTAAACGATGGTCGAAATTAAATCTACGGTATGACTGCACCGCATGGTTGTGTGGAACCGAGTAAATTTACTGCCAGTGAGTCTCCACTCAGAGTTTGGCTGGTAAAATTGTTACGATAATTAATCTACAGTGTACATTTGCAGAGGGAGGATTTCGCCGCACTTCACTCAGCCATAGGGGAATGAGAAGATTTGGGGGCAGGAGGCCGAAAGGAAACTGCGACTTGGGGCTTAGGATGGGGAGTGTGGGAAAGGGCTGGGGGCCCTGGACAGCCTTGGCCTCCCCTAAATGAACGGAAATCACACGACAGGCGGAGTCGGGCCGGGTTCTTGTCCAGGACGGGAAGCTTACCCTTGCTAAACTTCAACGCCCTCGTCTGCAGAAAGGGAATCGTGCCAGGTGCCTGCCTCCTGTACCTTCCAGAAGTGCGTGCAGATTACGTGACCGAGTTCACAGCGAGGTGTCTTTCTTTCGAGAGGCTTCTGTAGGTGGAGGGAGAAAAATGCCACGGTTGGGGAAGGGACCGAGGGGAGGGGAGGCTGCCAACGGCACCCTCACATTTTGCCTGGCTTCCTCCCTGCAGACACCTGCCGGTCCCTGGTCTATTTCAGGGTCGAGCCGGGCTGCAGAGTGGCGGAGGCACGTGGGACGGCCCCTTGACAACTGACGCCTCTGCAGAAGTGAAGCCGGGGGTTCGGGTGTGAGAAGAGGCCCACCTAGGAAAGCGAGCAAGAGGGGAGGGCTGGCTACCGCCGCTTCCCGCCAGCGCCTCGAAATACGAAACACACAGCCTCAATGTTATGCAGGAACTGAACGCCGCCCGATTCGTTAAATCGGTGAGCGCACAGGTCATCGAGGGCGGTGGCGAGCTAGAAGGAGGATTCCTGTGACTTGTGCAGAGGAACAAGAGCCCGAGTGGACCTTTTGGTTCCGGGGCAACCCACAGGCACATTCTTCTGAAACCGCTTTATTTGAAGTCGTTCCAGAGCTTTATCTCCCCTGAATGTTTGGGCTTGGAGTAAAACTGTTCACTTGAGCATTGCCTGTTGGGTTTGATCAGTCCTAAGAGCCTTCTGGAAAGGCCCAGAAAGCCAGAAGGTGAAGCCAGGAGTGAGTGGTACGTGCGTCCTATAGATCGCTTCTAATCCGCCTTCCTCCCTTCGCAGGGGGGGGTAAAAAAAAAAAAAAAATTAGTTTCAAATGGAGTTTGTTTTCAGTTTAGCCTGGCAGGGAGAAAAGGCCCAGTTAATCGTGGTACATAACAATTAAAATTTAGCTAAGACAAGCAGTGTAGCGAACCTATACGATTCTTTACAACTTAACTATAAACTGTATTTCATTATGCATGTACGGTAAGTTGTGATTTCATTTTCTCCTGACTTTTAATCAAAGACTTCAAATGATTTAAAACCCCCAAATTCCTAACTCTGTGTTAATATCTCATTATTGGCAACCGGTGGCTCATAGGGCAGCCTACCCCATGTGGCCGACCTAATGGCCATATAGCAGACCCTTACAAAGATGTCAAATGTGTCGTGTAAAAAAGAAAATTCATCAGTATATTACCAACATATTTGACCAATAAATAAATAAATAAATAATATATATATATATTTGACAAAAATGCTTTTTCATTTTTTTCTTAAAAAGGTGCTTCAAACCTGAGAGCCTTCCTTTAGCCCAGAATGATTTTCCTACAAGGATCCCTAACCATCGTAATGCAACATTTAAGCCTAAGAGTGTCCGGGGGTGGGGGTGGGGTGGGGGTGGGGGGTGGGGGGTGGTGACAGCTTGTCCCAAATTAACCAAGTGTCTTGTGTCTCAGAGAGCCTGGCATCGTTAGACTGTTCAGGCCTGCAGCCCAGATTCACAGACAGCCAATGAAAAATCATCACAAATGGCGGATTACATGCGCCCCACCCCTGCCAGTCCAGCTTTATCTTTTGAAATCCTTTAAACTATGTTTTACATCCCATCTTCCATATTTCATCAAAAAAAAAAAAAGAAGAATTTTATAAAAGTTTGTATCCCATGTGTGGTCATAAATGTATTTTTTTCCTTATGTCTATCTCAGCGTATAACGTTGGGTTCCTGAATAACTCAGCACAGGTCGCCTCCCGATTCAACCCTAACAAAACCAGACTTCGGGGAGAAACTGCTTAGATTACTACAATTGAAAAAAGCCAGAGAGGGGATCCTGGGCTCAGTCAGTTGAGTGTCCGATTTCAGCTCAGGTCATGATCTGACGGTTCGTGAGTTTGAGCCCCACATCGGGCTCACGGCTGTCAGCCCAGAGCTCGCTTGGGATCCCCTGTCCTCCCCTCTCTCTGCCCCTCCCCTGCTTGCTCTCTCTCTCTCTCTCTCTCTCTCTCTCTCTCTCAAAAATAAACACTAAAAAAAGCCAAAGAATAAGGACACTCTGGCTCAATAAATAAAGTGATCAGTCCCGCGGTAGCTGAGGGGAAGGAGGACAGCAAGGTGGGTACAGGGGCCACAGTGCAAACCTGAAGGAGACACTCACAGTCAGGGTCAAGTGCATGCAGCGGCAGCACCTGAAGGTGAGCCCCTCCTTCGATTCTGCACCCAGGGCCCCTCCCTTGCTTCACCCCAGTCCTGGCTCTGTTCTAGAAGAAATAAGGAAGGCCAATCAAATACCTATAAACAGAAGTTATTTCTGTACATTTCCCAGATTTTCCATAAGCACCGAGCAGTTTTTCAATTCTTCATTTTTACAGACTGCTGCCTGCTTGTAATGATCATTTAGAAAAAAGCCCCACTTTCCCCAGGGAATGAAAACGTCGTCCCAAGTGTCTTGACTTGGAGCATGGATAGAATGGCCCTAAGTCCCAATTTCTAGTGGCCCATCCTGTCAGATAAACTGGTCCCAGGCTGCGATTTGGGAAATAGCGTGGCTTGAATGTGCACTGGACTTCCATCCTTTTGCTCCTTTATCAGTTGCTCTCAAACTCATGGAAAAGTATACGAGGGGCGCCTGGGTGGCTCAAGTCAGTCAAGCGTCCGACCTCGGCTCAGGTCATGATCTCAGGGTTCGTGAGTTGGAGCCCCGTGCCGGGCTCTCTGCCGTCAGCGTGGACCGTGCTTCAGATCCTCTGTCTCCCTGTCTCTGCCCCTCCCCTGCTTGCACTTTCTCTCTCAAAATAAACAAATAAACTTAAAAAAAAAAAAAAGTATATTGAGTTAACTGAGGGCTATGTAATACTTGCAGAATATTAGAGGCTTGGGACCGTGTAAAATGATTTCAGTCAACCACTGCTGTACCCATAGGAGACTGGAGCACAGAAGAACTGAATGACGTACCCACTGCAGGTTCCTTGGTCAAGGCTGGAACGACAGCCCGTACGTCTCGACTCTTCGTCTTGGGCTTTCTCCGCTATAATCACGCTGCCCCCCTCCTTAGGTCATAGACTCCTCAACGTTCTTTTAGACACAAGCCGTGGTAACAATGGCACTAACAACAAAAGACCTGCGTCACACTGGTTGAAACCGAGAATCCGGTGGCTCACGCAACAACCTAGTCCACAGGTATCTCTGCCTTCAGGGACAGCTGGCTTTAGGGGTCTTAACAGTGTCATCAGAACTGGCTCATCTCCAGCCCTGTTTGGCTTTGTTTTCAGGCTCTACAGATGAGCTAAATGGCTGCCAAGTAAAGTCCTGACGTCACCTGAAGATCTTGCCCTTCCCCACCCCCCCAACAGGCCTTCCAAAGTTGCACATTGCATGCCATTGGGTCTGATGGGATAGGGCACCATCTTGGAAATAGTCACCGTGGCCCGAAGGTACTATTCTTACTAAATAGGCCTGAATCCCATGTCTACCCAGAGTGTAGAGTCTACACCCTTTGAAAGACTTGTCTGAGGGTACACATCAGGACCAGACAAGAGGGAGGCAGAGGTGCCCATCTGAACAAGAATAGCCACTGTGGCCTAAAACGCAAGTTTCTCCTTACCTCGTTTTCTTAGTAAATTCACCTGCATCCTCCGCTTTCCACTGTAGCTGTTTAGTGTCTCTGTCCAGGAACCTTCTCCTTTTGCATGGCTCCTTTAAAGTTTTTATAAGGTAACGGGGCGCCTGGGTGGCTTCGTCGGTTAAGCGTCCAATTTCGGCTCGGGTCATGATCTCACGGTCCGTGAGTTCGAGCCCCGCATCGGGCTCTGTGCTGACAGCTCCGAGCCCGGAGCCTGCTTCGGATTCTGTGTCTCCCTCTCTCTCTGCCCCTCCCCCACTCATGCTCTGTGTCTCTCAAAAATAAATGTTAAAACAATTTTATAAGGTAAATAGTGAAAAAAATCAAAAGGAATTCACCCTGCTGTGTTTTGAACTTGTTTGAGACCTGTGATCTCTTTTTTTCTCCCTTTTGGAATGGGACTGTCTATCCTGTGCCTTTCCCACCATTGTATTTTGGAAGCAAATGATGTGTCTGGCTTCACAGGTTCACAGAGGCAGAGGGATTTTGCCCCAGGATGATCCACGCATTAGCTCTTACTTATAACTGACTTAAAGGAGGAAGATGATGCGATTGGGGACTTTGAGCTGGCGATTTTTAGATGAGATTTAGAGTTAGCATGGATGCTGACACCGTTAAGACTTTGGGGGATGTTGGGATGGGGTGAGTGTATTTGGCATTGGGGAAGGTCAGGAATTTTGGAGGACCAGAGCAGCCTATAATACGTTGGATCGTGTCTCCCAAACAGATACGCTGAAGTCCTAACCCTTGGTATCTGTGAACGTGACCTTACTTGGAAACAGGGTCTCTGTGGGTGTACTCAGGTTAAGAGGAGGTCATATTAGATCAGGGTGGCCCCTCATCCAAATGACTGGTGTCCTTCTCAGAAAAGGGAGGTTTGCGCACAGGCAGACATGGAGGAAGGCCGGCCAGGTGAGGATGGGGGCAGAGCTTGGAGGCTTCCACAAGTCGGGGAAAGTCTGGGTCTGTCAGAAGCTGGAAGGAGCCAGGTAGAACCTTCCTCAGGGGCTTCAGGGACACTGGCTCTGCTGATACCTTGATTTGGACTCCTAGCCTCGTGAGACAGTTACTTGCTGTGGTTTTCAGCTCCCCCGTTTGTGGTGCGTTGTGACAACAATCCCAGGAAACCAGTACAAATTCGAGCCTGGCAACTGGTTTCATAAACAACTATTTGTTGACCTAAATGGCGATTAAAACCCGAGCTACCAAATGAGCAAAGTGTTCCACAGCTTTCTGGAATGACCCGTCACCAGCTTACGCCTTGTGTTAGCTACGACATGGAATGAGCGCTTGGACGCTTCCCGGTGTCCCCAGAAATTCAGATGAGGGGTAAGTCCTGATGCGGCTCCTTCAAGAACTAACTCGCGTTATCAGAACACTGGTCCCATGAGAAACACGCGTGCAAAGGATTCTCCAGATAAGGGGAACGATGAAAACTCATAAATGAATTATAATAGATGATGCAGGCATCTTTTGAAGATTTTATTCTTAAGTAATCTCTACACCCAACACGGGGCTTGAACTCACAACCCCGAGATCGAGAGCTGCAAGGCCCCCCCCCCAGCTGAGCCAGCCGGGCGCCCCGACACGAGCACTTGGGTGCCGCTCTGTGATGATTACAGTAATGAGGGTGCTTCGTAGAGTAGAATCATTGGACAGCATTTTCACGAAGCCGTCTCCAATGGGTGGTGAGCAGAGTCTAACCGCCTCCCCGTCACTGGCTGAACAGAAGGAAGCCCGTGAAAGTTGTGTCATCGTCCTCATCCGCAAACAAGCCGTTAAACCTCTCCCCTCCTGCCACCTGCATCCACACCTCGTCCCCCAGCTTCAGGGGCAGCACGATGCCTCCGGACGCCTGGTCCTCCGAGCTCATGTAGCCGTCCTTGGTGTGCAGGATTTTTACCCCATTTTTGACCAAAGCTACCTGAACGTTCCTGGAGAAGACAGTGATGTGGTAGGTGAAGTAATAGACCCCGGCAACGTGGCAAGTGAATTTCCCTGTGGCTACATCGTAGTGATTGAATTCGTTGTACAGGATCTTATCAAATTTAATGGGCGCATCTGAAGCCGGAAACTTGCTCAGTACCGTGAGGCCCACCGTGAAAGCGCTTTTGGGCAAGACGGGAGTCTCGCCGATTTTCCCTTTTTCGCCTCGGTCCCCTTTCCAGCCTCTCATCCCCCGGACTCCCGGCTCCCCCTGGGGCCCGAGGGGCCCAGCATCTCCTTTGGGGCCAGGCTTTCCGACGGGGCCCATGGGGCCAGGTAGACCAGTTGGCCCCGAAGGCCCAGTGTGGCCCTGTAGCCCCTGAGGACCAGTGGGCCCCACGTCGCCTTTCTCCCCCTTTGGCCCTCGAGGGCCAGTCTCCCCCTGGAGGCCTTTCTCTCCCATGGGACCAACAAATCCCTTGGGCCCGTGTTTTCCTGGGGGTCCCTGGGAGCCTTGATCGCCTTTGATGCCTTTGGCTTCGACTTTTCCGTCTGCTCCTAGGCGGAGAAAGAGAGAATAAAGGAAAAGATGACTTGCGACACGTCACCTTGCAAAGCCAGCTTTGGCTTTTCTCGAGCACACAGAGGAGATAAAGCAGTGCAAGTACAGTAGACGCTCCGGGTCCGAACGTTACTTTACTCCTAAAGCGCGTGCGTGGCATCCACACCCGCTCACACGCGCGTGCGTGCACACAAAACCCCTTCGTACTCCTGTCCGCTACGGTGGCGTCGGGGTCCACGTTAGAAGTTCCAGCTCCTTACCCGCCACAGAGTCGACTCTGGCCACTACACACGGCCGACCCTTGGGCACAGGTCTTCGGAAAGGCAGACGAACTCAAGCTGCCTCCAGTGACCCGCCACTCAGCTCTCGTTCTGTGACATCTTCTAAAAAAACCCCTCACGGGACTGAACAGGCCCCTCAGGGCCCCCCGGCTCCTCCAGCCCGACTGGAGAGCTGTGGTGAGGAGCACGGGTTCTAGAGCCAAATGCCAAGACTCCTTCCTGTCTCCTCCACGCAGGCACAGCGGGACAAGCCAGTCAGCCACCTACACCTCTGATGCCTCATCCGTAAAACTGAGACAATAATACCACCTCATTTATAGGCTGTTGTATCGAGTCGATATGTGGAAATCGGGGCACCTGGGTGGCTCAGTCGGTGAAGCGTTAGACTCCTGGTTTTGGCTCAGGCGATGATCTCACGGCTCAGGAGTTCGAGCCCCGCACTAGGCTGTGC